CATAGCAAACTTACATACTCCCTAGCAAATAGTTGCCTATTAAAACGTCCAACAGATACAGATCAGCATCATCATCATTTGCAGTTGTGCTTCTTGCCACCTGGTAAACAACAGTCCAGTATTCACTCTCTTTTAGCTATGTTTTCTTTCCACCAACCCCAGAGGGAAATATCTGACTCAGTTAGTTTCTAAATTCTCCACTATGTTCACCAGCCAGATGCTAAATTTGTACAGTTGGGTTACCAAAGCTTTCTCTGTGAAAACCCTTACCAGCTGGAAACAATTTGATGAGAGCTGTGAGAGTACCAAAACAGTGAAGTTGTGGGCTATAAAACCATATCAATGATTTGAAAGATATTAAAGCTCCATAGAGCTGATAATCCTCGGTTTATATTATGAGACACTTTTTTCACATATACATAGTTATATAATTATTGATTAACTCCATCAATATGTGTGGATACCAAGCTTCTTTTGGGTCTTTGACAGCCCGATGTCATTCCGCTATTAGTTCTGGACCAGCTATTTAGAGGGTTCCATGTACTTGGAAAACCACCAGAGATACTTTCTTTCCTTAAGGGAGATGGACAGATACCTAACAACTATTCAGCTGTAGTGGGAGAAGCCTCTGCTACTACCATAGGATGAACCACATTTTACTGGGCAGAAATTACATTACATTTGAGTGGTTGGAAAGCGCTTTTACATCTGCATTCACCATTCACACACATTCATACACTGAGCCTAAGTGCTCAAACAGAAACCTTCCGATTAATGGTCAACCCGTTCTTACTCCTGAGCCACAGCCGTCCCTGTGGTCTGCCTTCTTGACAGTGGGAAAGATCAGGGGTTAAAATCTTGCAGTGGAAAGACTGCAATCCCAAACTGTGGTCGGTATTCATTTTGTGTTTGAACTTTACATCAAAGGGTCGTGATTGAACTCTCTGGACAAAATAGATGGGCAGCTCTCCCAGTAAAGCAGCATGCGGCATAGTGACTCATAGAGTCCAACATTTGTTTTAAGCTTTTCTGGCAACACGTAGCTCCACTGTGATGAAAACAAAATGCCATCTGACAATTTGCCTTGTGCATCACTGTGGTTACTGGTGGTTCTCAATGTGAAAAAAGGGCACATTGTGGGAAAGCAGGTTACCACATAACACTTTACTATTATCATCCTATAGATTTGTAAAATAGTCTGGAGAATGAAAACAAAGGTCATTTGTTGTCAAAGTCATCTTTCTCTCATCTTCCTCTGCAATGCAAGAAGACCTAATAGTAATCTGCAATGTTTTAAAAAATATCAGCATAATTTTCCAAAATCCATCCATCAGCCTGAATTTTCCTAAATTAGACTCACAAAACAAACAATTAAAAGATATGTGTTGGTACACTGAAGTAGCCTACTTGAATGATTAATGAATATTTTCTCACTTCTCTTGTGGTATTTATCCATGCAGACAGTTTTGGTATTGAGGTTCAAAGTTAATTTGTGCCCTTGGATACAACTGTTGAGAAAACAATCTCACTATAAGGTCCAAAGCAGTCATGTGGATTTTGATCATATCATATCAACAACTTCATCAGCAGATGAAGTTTGCCCAGTTGCCATGAAATTTAATTCCATTTTTTTCCTGAGCACTTTCTGTCTGCTGATGAAGATCTGATATGATTAAAAGCTCCAGAAGCTTTGCGTTTTTTCCAGGTCAGGATTTAGGCTGTAACACCAATTCAGTCGAGGTGAATGACATTCTCTTTATGGCGCTCACAGGATTAAAATGTAATTACATTAAAAAAATATAACACTAACATCTCTTTCAGAGACAGTGTCCCTGTTACTGGCGATAATCCAAAGACCTCAGTGTGAACAGTTTTCAGGGACCAACTTCTAGTGAAGAAATAGTCCTTCTGAGAACTTTTGACAGCGTGTTGTGTGGATAGTAACAATTGCACATTTGTCAAAATTCCTGTTGAATTCCTTAGAATGATTTTTCAATGCTGTGAGCAATATTGTTACACCAATTTATCAAACAGAATAATACAACTGTGCACCTTCTGAATTCAAGTTTCTCTCTTTCACCAAAATAATTGCCGTGTTAAGTCATTGTAATACACGCTTCATTGAAACAAAATCAAACTCAGTAAAACTGCTGTGGTTGGCCTTTCCACTGTTCCAACAATAAACCCTTGAATCACTTCTTCTCGCTCCTCTCTTGCTTGATGCCTCTCCTGAAGGGAGGGTATCTGTGTTCCCAGGGTTCTATACTCCCACGGTCCTATGTTACCCAGCTCAATATCCTCTTAATATGACACATTAAGGAAACCTTTCAAAGTGTTTATGTTCTCAGCAATGTGTTGTCCCTAGGTCAAATGTTCAGTGAATGTTTTGCTGGGTCAATATGTTGCCACGTCAAATTGGCCTCTGTTGGTCTCGGAGGCTGTCTTCAGTCCCATCCTGCCATAATTATAGGGAGACCTGTGCCGTTGCCTGCTCGCCTGTCTCTGGTTCTTGTGCCTATTCCGGACTTAGTCAGCTAATAGGACTGCTACGTTAGCTGCAGGCTAACTGAGCTAACTAGCTGATGGCAGTTATGATCTGACGTGATATGCTGCCCCTATTTTTTGAAATATGAATTTGACTGGTGGAGAGTAGTCTCAATTCTTAACACTGTACCTTTAATACACAGCACTGTCTGATCGCGGGACCTCATAAAGACTGTCAGAGGTCTTGGCCTATTTAGAGACTATAACTTTAATCACTTATTGATCCCTGTGCTGTATAGCCTCTCGACTCCTCTTTCTATTTCTTGCCTCAAGTGGTGTGTGGGCAGTGCTGGATGAACAGGCAGTTAATGAGGTTGTAAGGACTGTAATTGACAGGAGCAGGTCATTTCTGCAAAGAGCCAAACATGTGATCAGGCTAGTCAAGAGTTCAGACAACTTATTTGGTGAGGACTTAGAGGATGGGGAGTGGGTGAAGTGGTGGGATGGAACATAGCCGAGAGCAGAGAGGAGGCAGACCGTGGAAATACACGAGAAACATGGGACCTTAACTGACAACAGAGCTCCATCAAGAAAGTGGAAAATGTTGTTAGAATTAGGGCTGCAACTAATTGGCTCATTACCAAACACATTGACTTTGCACTTCAAGATTGGTTTAATCATTATTGTGAGAGCTATAACTCAACAGTTGTATGTTAAGTCTGACATAAAACAAGCTCAGGTTTTTAAAAGAAAGCCAGTGTTAACCAGGGGTTTAGAGTTTAAAAGATGTGGATGTTACTCAGGTAAGAAGGGTCTAACGAAAAGTTGCAAGTTGTTAACTTTGACCACTCTTATTTTACAGAGTATTCTTTTTAAACATTTAATTGTGTTGAAAATGTAATAAAAAATATGTGCAGAACACAAATGTCAAATCAAATTGTCTTCAAATAGCTTGCTTTGTCTGACCAAGAATCCAAAACGTTTTTAATGAAATAAAACAGAGAAATGCACAAAACTATTGCATTTGAAAATCTGGAATTTGGAACATTAACCCCACTGATTTATCCTCTAGCGCCACCATGAGGTCTACATTTGTGATTTTGAGTGAAGTGTCTGCACTATTGGATGAATTGCAATGAAATTTGATACACATATTAATGTTCCCTTAACCTTTCATCTAGCACCTTCACCAGGTCAAAATGGTCATTTGTTTGAGAAAATACCCACAAAACGAATTCCCATCAGCCTCAGCTAAACTTTGTGTTTGAGTGCTAACATACAACTATGATGGTGAACATGGTAGAATAACTTACTAAACATCCGTACGTTAACATACTCACATTTAGCTGAAAGCACCCATTGTGCCTAAATACAGCCTCACAGAGTCGTTCGTTAGCAAGGCTGTAGTATTGTTCCTTGATAAATGACTTAATAATAAAAAATAACTAAAATCTTCTAATCATTGCAGCTCTACTAAATCCTCCTGAAAACTATGAGAACCTTAAAGAGGTCATACTATGCTCATTTTCAGGTTTATAATTTTATTTAGGGGTTGTACCCATAGACTGTATATAAAAAGGTTGTACCAGAACAGGTTGACATGGTTTAATTTTTAAAAAAAACACCATATTTCTGTCATCCTGCACATTGCTACAGCTCCTCTTTTCACACTTGAAAGATCCGTTTTAGTTACGGAGTGAGGCATCTCACTTCTACTCGATCTTTGTTGGGAGTTGCACATGCACAGTACCTAGGTAAGGATTACTAGCCAATCAGAAGTACAGTAGGGAGGGTCCTGACAAGCAAGGTAGTGTGATCCACAACAAAGAGCTTCAGCCAGCAACCTGGCTTCTGTTCAGTCTATATGTCTGAGCCTGAGTGTGATCCAGGCCGAACAACCCAAACCAGCTTTGCAACCTAGACTGGAGTGGTGAGTTATTCATTTGTAACAAATGTATCTTTCATGTTTTAACTGTGCTCTACATCACAGTAACAACTTTATGTCCATGGTCTGCCTAACATTTGCTAGGAAGGGTGGGGGTGAAGGGAGGCAGCGGGTGTGTGCTGCAGCTCAGTCTGTTTCCCCACCAGTGTTTTTGAGGGCGTGTCTAAATAGCCGCTAGGAGAGCATTATGACGTGTTGTTAAGCCATGACGTTACATAGTGACGCAGAGAGTTTACGGAAGTAAACACTTGACTAAAATGGAGCTGTTTTCAGGCAGTTCGGCAGCAGTGTTTTCTGTGGGAGATGGGAACTCCCTTTGCGGTGGACTTTTTCACTTTGCAAACCTATTACATGCACAAAAAAGATATATAACTCAATTAAGGGAAAAAGCCAAAAAGCCTAAAAGACCTCTTTAAACCTCAGGTCTGCAGATGTTGTGGCTGGACTTTTATCATCCAATGAGTCACATAACATTTGGTTTTAATAAGCTTTAGAAAAAAGCGCTTGTTTCATACTATTTTGAAACTTCACTTACATGTGATGCCACTGACATATTCATAGCAAAAAGGCGTACAAGAGACCTCTTTATTGAATTTATTAAGTTGTATTCAGACACTCAAAACTGCCCATCACTAGTAATGCTGTTTTACATCATTAAAATTCATTGAGCTGTAAGAGAGACCACCAGAAACGTTAATTATGCTACCTGCTTATAGCTGTAGGTTAGCAAGTTCAATACAGTCTGTCATATAAAATTGAAGGGCATTAATTAAAACATGATCAACACTGTGCAATGCAATAAAAGTTCCTTTCAAACATAACCATGGACCATTTCTGAGAAAAGTAACAAGACACCAGAGAGGGATTTTGTTAATAACACTACATATACCTAAAAAGACCACCACTGCTTAACATTTGACCAGTTTGTGACAAGGTCTAGGATGAAAAAAAAATAATAATAAGCAGACCAATAATTAACTGTACAATTGTTCGGAATCTCTAGATAATTTCCTGGTGAGCTCATGAGCTCTGCAAGCTGTACTAAAGGAGAAAGAAGACAACATTGCAACATTGCACCCTATAACAACATTAGAGTATTTTTTTCCCCCCACATACTTGTGACAATGGATAGTAGTCAAATTTTCTGTTTGTGTGCTGCTTGAACTATATTCTAAAAACAATCCCCCTGTGATTAAGATCACCCAAACTGATGCAGGTTGACTACTGGCCTGAACAGAAACAGAGCAGATTAACAAAGAGTTTAACATACAACTAGTCGTGTGCTCAAGTCTTTGCAAGACAACTCACAAAGCAGGATTTTCAACAGTCTTAAAAGTTTCCTGTTGATTATCTTTTCCTTGTGAAGCCACATTCATGTCAAAACTTTATTGGGCTTCAGTAAAGCAAAATGAAAGTATTTGTTAAATAGCAAAGCCAAATTTAAAAACCCTGTCATACAGGCCTCATGTTGGCCTGAAGGTGTTGGTTCCTGATGTTCCCGCACTTTCCAAAACTCCATGTTTTCCACACTACAAAGACTTTTGATATGATATACAGCAACATCACAAGCCCATATTACTCTACAGATAGTTGCACAAAATGGGAAGCCAGATGTGTATGGAGGCAGTTTTTCCTCTACAGCCTACTTGTTCAAAATCTGGAGAGTACCAAATAAATGTTTTCGCACTTTCCATTAGGAGCCTGGGATGAAGATGTCTTCTTGTGTAACAGATGTGAGGAGGGAGGGATTCTTGGTTTGCACAAAAGTCCTTTCCTGGCACTGTCTCAATACACTGATGCCTCACAACAGACTGTTGAAGCCAGGCGTCTCAAGATGGGAACAATTTGGTTTTCTTCTGATTGTGAGCATAACTTAACCCGCACACAAAGAGTATTACAAGCAACATCATTCACATCCAGTTGACCCTGTGAAGTGACAAATGAGGCTACACCTTCTCATCTGCAAATCACACGCGGAAATTCACACACGACACAATCACAGGCTTCTCGCTCGCTCAAATAGGGGTTAGTCTTCCAACTGGATAGTAAAATAAAAATGTGTTGTTTTCTTTTTAGGAGTTGTAGTGATACATGCATCCATTATACTGATATACACTTCTTAAAAAAAGTAAAAAAGAAAAAAAAAAAAAAGAAAAAAGGAACAAACAGAACATCAACAAAAAAAAAGGTATTAGAAATGCAGCTATACAGAGTCTTTTAGCTATTCCAGGGAAGTGAGGTTGACGGTCAGGTCTGACGTCAGGAAGCCAAGGAGCCAGATGTCCAGATGTTGTTTGGGGAGGGGGCAAGAGGGGGTGAGCAGGAAGAGCTGGGTTAGTTACTGCAGCAGGGACGGCTGGTGGGCTGAGCCGACTCTGTCAGGTCCACTCCCCGGTTCCGCCCGCTGCTGGCTCCTGCCGCTTGAGGCTCATTCTTGGGTAGCTTCTTTGCTGCAATGACAAAGCAACAACATCAGTGATGACCTCACCATAAGTGGTCTGATAACCATAACCTATGATGACAATAGGACGGCGTTTAGTCGACATAATCGACAACGTCCATTAGAAGAATTCAGAGAGGCTGTTTAAGGGAGAGACAGCAATCTTCTTATTAAGAACATTTCTGGTTGTTCATTTGTAACTGCAATGCACTGCAGGAAGTGCTGGGGGCAGTATCGCTTCCATTGTCTGCCATGACTGCAAGACTATTCACGAAGAAGAAGCATTCATGCGAACAGCGGAAAAAGTGGAAAGCTAACAGTGGAACGTTTTTTAGTTTTAACAAGTTTTGTAAACCACTAAATCATCACTAGGTTCTGAGGCGAGAACTCAACTCTGTAGTTTTACAAAAGTTGAATTAGTTAAATGGTTTAATTAGGGTTAGGGGTGACTAGAATAATTATGATTAGTCGACTAATCGAATAAATTAACAGATTAGTCGACAACGAAACTGATCAACCAAATTGTTAAGAGTGGCTTAACACTTAATCCTCTTTTTCCGAGTTAGTAAATTATAGTCAATTAATTACAAATTCAATTAATCCTGGTCTGCACAAATACAAAAGTTTTCAGAGAACATTTTATATTCCTGTGCTTCTCAGGGACACCACACTCCCGAATCAACCGTTATCAGTGTGGACAGTATGGAGTTATTGGAGTAATTTGCAGACTATCACTCTCCATTGCCTTTGTGCATAAAGTTGTGAAGTAGGCTTGTTCAAGTTAAAAGAGGGTGTTAAGTTGCTTTTCAAAGATACTTTGTCAGTGATCACTAATGAGCCCAACCAATGCTGGATTTTTGCAAGCAATATCAATTTGAGTTTAAAATAAAAAAAATCAAATAATCCTAATTTCTTTTCAATAAGCGCATCACATAATCAACCACTTTTGATAAAGATCTCTTTAAAGCCCTGCACACCCACAAGGGCATTTTCAATTACTGTAGAATTAGCTGATGGCACCAAAGTCTTTGTACTAATAAAAATAGTCTGATTTGCCCCGCCCTGAGAAGAGAGTGATGAAGCTGTCAATCAAGCACAGTCTATGTCTCCAAAGAGACTGTTAAGTACCAGTGGTAAACTTCGGCCACAACACCTATGTGAACATTATGAGCTGTGACATTTCATTACGGCAAATCATGGACTAACTGGTAACAATGTACCAGCCTAATGGTAAATATTGTATATTCAAATTAGGCATCTATTTTTTCATACCTTCCTAACATTTCATTGGAATATACTATAAATGACAGTATTTGTGTAAACAAAACAAATCTAGCCGTAAGAGGCAATGATAGGGATCCAAGCAGATTGCGCAGAATGCTAATTTTGACATTTTCAGAGCAGAAGACCAAATTCAGATGACTTAAGAGATTAAAATGATGAAAGAATTTTGACTCTAAGCTAAGCCATTTGAGATAATTGCAGAAACGGAAACTTAATTGTTATAGAGCCACATTGAGGTCAATGAGTGTCATTTTATACGCCTGGGTAGTGGGTGGAATTTGCAACCTACCTTCCAATTCTGGTGCGTTTTGGTCTTAACAGTTTTTGCTGCATGAACACTTAGCAGTTTTAAAGAGAGAGCAAAAACAATAGGACGTAAAAGCTGAGCTGCTGGTGATAGAAGTCTTTGTAGCATGTATGACATTGTCTAGCCTACAATGCTGTGTCTAATATGCAATTAGCCTACTTAGACAAGTCTTGCTGGGTGTAAATACTTATGGCTCATAGAATAGATACGAAATAAGCACCCTTCTTCCATAAAGTTTTGCTGGAGGATCCAATGACCAAAGTCCTGTAACGTTATCTACACCACTCGCAGTCACCGATGACTCACTCCCTTTTGTGAGTAGTGAGTGTGTGTCTGAGCGAAAGTGAGCGAGCGGCAGGTGAATGCCGCAGAGAAAAGGTGAGCAGTAAGTGTACAGTTTGTCAGTGAATAAAAGCTGCAACTAAAGCTCTCATGTGTGTTGCTGTCCAATTGCTGGAAATACAAATTTCATGCGGCGTTGCCTGCCTGCGTTGAGGGCGTACACTACAATACAGCGTCTCCATATTAGTTTTATGGAAAGAGGATCGTCAGTATTTTTGATGGTATTGAAAGTCATACCGCTGGGACTTCAAAATACCGTTACACCGTAATACCTTGATATTGCCCAAGCCTAATCCAAACGGCTTCCAATTTATGATAAACATGAACTCCAGTTGGATGCTACTAAGACGACCAGTCTTTTATTGCTGCTCAAAGTCACTTCAACAACCACTGGTCATTGGCATATCGGGGCTCCAACAGTAGGTCAGGTCATAGTTCTGCTTACATTTATTTCATATTAGAATTCTTCAAATGTTTATATAGATAAGATCAGGAAGTTTAAGATTTAAGAGACACTTACCAATGGCCATGAAAATCTCATTCACGTTCATAGAGGTCTTTGCTGATGTTTCCATAAAAAGCAAGCTGTTATCATCTGCGTATGACTGTGCATCCTATGGAAGTGAAACCAACATCACTTAAAATGATTGTACACAGTTTGCATGAACAAAAAACTAAATATGGAGGAAGTAAAGTAGGTATTTTTCCAAGTAGTAGACAGGATCAGGGCCAATCAGCCAGAGATTGTTGTATTCTGTCAACATACATCAAAATTAATAATCGGCCAGTGAATGTTTTATGTTAGCTTCAACAGACTTTGACACAAACCCCAATTTACTTGTAATGATTTGTTGTGGTTCCTCTAGATAATTAAGGATTTGAAGAACACAAACCTGGAAATCCAGTGCTCTCTTGTTTGCGAGATCAGCCTTGTTCCCAGCCAGAGCTATTACAATATTTGGACTGGCTTGTCTCTGAAGCTCTTTAACCCAGTTCTTCGCCCGTACAAATGACTCCTGGCAAATAAAACAGGGAGGGTTAGTAAAATAACAATAAGATCCACATAATAGAAAGATCAGGACAAAAGGTGCCTTCCTATGATGTCTGGCTAGACATTTACCAATCTTTTGACCAAGACCCAGAATAGAGACTCATTAAAATGATGAAATATGAATCTAATGAAAATGTCCTCAGCTCATGTTCAGTAAAAAGCAGTATTTTGCGTGAGTATGCTATACTGCAATGCAGAGGTTATACACAAGGATTTTTTATTTATTTTAAATTTGGGCTATATGCCTACATTGAAGATAGGAAAGGAAAGGACTCTTTGTTCAAGACCTGGGCCCGTATTTATCAAGCTTCTCAGAATTACTCTGCTAACAATCGACTTAAGAGTAACAAATTCTTAGCTCAAAGCTGCTTAAAAGTTAGTTATCAAGCATCCATCGTCAAACACTTATCCTGCGTACAGGGTCGCGGGGGGCTCCATCACAGGGCCACACATAGACAATTATATATACCACCTACCAATTATAATATTGGATGTCAATGTAGGCAAGGACCAATCACTGAATAATTTCCTTATAACATTCTTAAAGTTCACATTAAATGGTGAAATTCCTAAGAGGAGTTTACACTCAACACACATTTAACAAGAGAATTCATTATGATATACACATTGGAAATGAAAGATAAAAAAAAGTTGATCTTTATATGAGCGCCATCACTTGCACCTACTACTCCAGTAAAGCCGGCTATCTGCATGAATTGTGCTTGCTTCTGTTGGATTACGGGGGGTGTTGTTGGGAAATGCGTGACAATGAGTGAAGCTCTAAGTGCCATAATTGTTTCCATGACAATTCAGCTTAATGATGATTGTGATGGCCCCAAATCATCAGCATTGCTGCGTTTGTCCTGTGGCAAATAAACAAAGCGTCATCACAACCTTCAGTTAGCCGAAAATGCGTTACTGCGTAAAGTCAGTGGTCAGATGACATCCCTCGCTGACAAAGATTATGTCTTTTGCAGAAGGAACTCACGGGGACACATACACATCAGAGAGTATCATCCGAATGGGCTGCAGTGTAACAGCTCATGCAGCTTTTATCTTAGTCTCAGGGTCGGAGTACTATCTCATCAAAGGAACATGGTGTCTTTCAGTGTTCCCTAGGGGATCTATAGAAAGACACCCATGTCCAAGGTACCTGTGGTGAACCACTTAAAGTCATGACCCCTCTGGACAATTGTTAAAGCATCACACACATTTACCATCCATTGACCCCATACCCAAGAGGCTGGAGGCCCCTAGTGAGATTAGATACATGGCAGTGTTTTAAAGATGGTTCTCATGAAATTCCCATTACACTGCGCTGTCCGACCCCGTCTAATTAACTGTGCGTCGTCAAATAATTCATAAACATCCTTCCACTCCTGAAAGATTTGCACATGTCTCTGTCTCCACAGTGCCATCACAAGCCCCTACTGGCAACTGGAGAGAGTAAGAAATGTAATAATTTGCTTTTATTCTTAAAAAAGTAGGAGTAAATTTCATTCATTCTCAGCACTTAAGACTAAAATGGCACTTTGAGAACTTTTATAAATACCGGCCCTCGTCTTTAAACAATCTACTGTAATAAAAAATATTTTTTTTAGTGTCAGAAGGTGCTTCTTTGCTGCTGGCTTTGTCACTGAGCAATGTTCATACCCGATAGTAATATTAACATTAAACTATGTATCTCCTCATCCTATTTTTGTGACCAACTTTTTACACAAACAACCAATCACAGTCGATCTTTCTGGTACAATTTACAAATAGAATGACTCAATCAGCTGTTGTCTTTATGGCAGCTGCAGTTTTGACATTAAAGTCGACAGTTGCCGTTTAAGATATAGACTATGTGAAGGTTAATGATTCTCATTCCACTATGTTCTTTTTGTAATCAAAACTAGCTATGTATAAATACTGTTTAAATATCTATTTGAGTATGACTCATGTATTAGGTCTACAATGTCTACCACACGCTGTGTTGTTGAGTGATGACTCATCTCTTTATTTGTCAAAATACTTAGAACACAACAGACAGAAAATACATGGTGTTAGAAAATGTAAAATGGAAACCCCCACTATCTCCTCATTATTGACAACAATGTTGTTCCAGCTATGGTTGGTGAAAGCAGCGTTGGTAAGAGGAACCACATGCCAGAAAACCTGGCACCTGACTCACCTCATTTGTTATATCATACACAACAATGGCTGCCTGGGCACCTCTGTAGTACATGGGAGCCAGACTATGGTAGCGCTCCTGACCAGCTGTGTCCCAAATTTCAAACTTGACTGTTGTGTCGTCCAAACATACCGTCTGAGTCAGGAAGGCAGCTGCAAAGCAAAGGAACCAATGACAAATGGGCCTGTAGCTACTGAGCTACACAAAATGTGTAAAAGTGAATCAAATAATTTAAGATAAATGCTGGAGACACACAGGATTATTATCTGGTTGACATTTCTAGTGATATTGAGCATTTTCTATACTGAACATCCAAAATCTGGATGTGTGCTGAGGCATTAGGTATGGTGGGAATCACTTAAACACATTTGTTAACCTTTATTTACTTTGAGATGCTTCACTGACAGCAATGCTCCCTTTTTTACTGTTTACATTTCGTCAATAACACACTTTCACACCTGGAAACGTCACTATTGCCGTTCTGGGAATCGCACCAGCGACCTTAGGGTCACACAGCTTTAGGCCATCATTGACTGCATCTCTCTAATTGTCACTTTATTCAAAGGTACCTTTGCCTTCTTCATGCCTAATCTTCCAGTGTGAGCTGATGCTGATGTCATATTTTGTGATCAATTTACTGACATACGATGATAATTGAGATATTCAATGCTTATTCCACTAAGTGATCATTGCAACGCTGTTAGTGACAAGAAGGCAAATAAAAGTATGTCAGTAATATCAATCAGTATCAATACAATTTCGCCTGCCTGTTCAGAAAAAATAAGCCACAACATGGCCATAACGAGGATACATACCTCCGATTGTGCTCTCTTGGAATTCGTGAAACTGTCCCTTGACAAAACGAAGTACGAGACTTGACTTCCCCACAGCCGACTCTCCTAAAAGCACGAGTTTGAACTGGCAGATCTTGTTGCCTGCGTTTGGCCCATTGGGTCGTGTAGCTCCGGCTCTACTTGCCATGTCACACAGTCCGGGCTCTTCCTCTGGACGCTGATGTACTGTCAAAAACTTTAGAAAAGACCTGAGCAGGAGAGAGAAAAGAAAGCTTAGTGTCATTCTCACATAAAAAATCTTCATGATTCAAAAATCAACGTGAGGAGAACATTTTGGCTAAAATGGAAATATACAGGTTTACTATGTTCATTAGAAATTCAAGCGTTTCTTTTGATATTTTATTTTCTGCAACAAATCATGATAATGACAAGCAAAGCACTAATAATTATTTATCTGTGGTTTTTGGTAGCATACACCATTTGGAACATACTAACTTAGATAGCTAAGTTTAAGTATTTTCTCTGTAGGTAAATGAGCATACAAAATTGTGGCAATAGCACAGAGAACATAAAAGCAAACCCTATTTAACGATTGGATTTTATGTCAATGTGTGATAGAGAACTGCTGCTGCTGCTTAACTGTATTGCATTTGAAGCAATATGTTTTACATCCAATCAAAGTTAGGATGTTAACAAATAAATGAGACAATGCAAAAGCAATTTATTGATATTCCCAAAGTTATGGTCTTGAAATAAAATCCCGAGTCCTCAATGTCCAAGACCGAGACAAGACAGAGTACAAATGCGGTTGAGTCCGAGACGAGACCGAGACCATCAAAAAGTGATCGGTCTCAAGTACTACAACACTAGAAATGATGAAAATAAAAGTTAAGCTAACTTGTTAGAAACTAAAATGTTCAGGCACAGATTGATGCAGTTTGTTTGTAGAATGGCGTACATATTCCTAATTTTTAAGATTATGTTAAGATATTAAGTTTAATGCTGTTCTAAGAAACAGTCCAAACCCTGAGGCCAAAATGCCACAGTCTCACAGATGACACAGTGACCACTGAGGAACATTTACTGTAGTTCATCACACATCAGGTCACCAAGATATCACAATACCATTACAAACAGTACATACTTTCCTCTCCAAACAATAGTTGGTTGCTTGCCATATCTAGCTGAGCTATTACAGGTGTGGCAAAAACATATTAGGGTGTGGGAGATACTGTAGTGAGTGTCAAATGTCCACCTCAGCAGTAACCCCAACATTTTAGCAACTGGTGTCACACAAAGAGGATCTGAACATCTGCTTCCAAAGTTTCTCACCTGTAGAAATTTAACTGCAAAGTCTACAAATGACAGAAAGTTGACCAACTGGTGTAGCTGTGAAAATCTGTAACAACAAACCTCTGGCAACTCCTGTTTATAGCTTTACGGTATGTGAGAGACTGTCACAAAAGAGATCTGTATGACACAGGCCCGGTCTTGTGCCCGGACATATACGAGGGAATAATGTTTTAAGGTTAAGTTGTAGAGAGTTTTCCCATCTGTCGGTCCGTAACTTAGATTTAAGGTGAATAACATCAACCATACCTACCTAATAACAACAGATTCTCTCTGTAACTTTGATATTTCTCATTACACCAACAAAGTAATCACGAAGCACCAGTCCAAAAATATTAGTCAACTTGTCCAAATCGCGTTACGACACACACTTAACCACAAATAACATGTTATGTTGTTGTCGACTGGCTCGAATTAGCAAAGCCATGACTAATAGCGTTAGCAACATAGCTACCTAGTAACGTTAAGTAATGTCCAGCCCAGGACCTATTTCTGCCTGAAAGAAAGCATGATTTCACCTATCTGAGTTAATTAAGTTCCAATCTGGGTGACGTTAGTATTGTACCCACTCTTATAACGTTAGCGCTACAGCATTGACGTTTGAGAATGCCAAAACACAGATGATGCCGTTTAGGGTGTGTACAGCTAGTGACAGCTAGCTAACCTTAGCAGCATGACGTTAGTTCAGTGAACTGCCCAATACAATCAGGGGACTAAATAGAGTCGCAGATGTTTGTTATATCAAACATGGGTCAACGTTAATGTGTTAATGGTCTTAACATGCTGACTGATCCGGAATCCCCCGCCTTTTAACGTTAACTTACTATGCTAACTAGCTCGGCCCATCCAGCTAGCGTTAGCTAGCCGGATAATAGATACTAGGCATGCTAACACAGTCAGCGAACGTTGTTTAGCTGTGGCCGCATCGGGAGGAGCCCACCCGGATAGCCATTAGCCAGCTAGCTAACACACATATTAGCTACTCACCTACCAAGAAGAGGAAACTAATTAATGTAAATGGTGTCTCCAGCACAATATTTGTTGCACTTCACAGTGTATCGAGAACCCAGCGAGCTACTGTAACGTTAGATTTCTTAAGGCTGCGCGATGTCCCTCTCCCACTTCTTTCAACTTCCCTTTTCGCATTGTACGAACGATGATGACAGATCGTGTGACTGGAATTGACAATCCGCCTACGTAGTGGTGCGAGGAACCAATCGTATGTTAGTATTTATTCCCAATTTACCGGTATGTGCCTTTCCAAATACCAAAATACCAGACACAGCAATAAAACAACAATCAAGACTTTTTCAACGGGGAAACTAGGCCAGAAAAGAGTGCATTTGTCGTAACATAAACCTAACGTTAGGTCAAAAGAAAACAGTCTATAAACCATGTGACTATCAATTTAATTAAACAATTAATTAATCAATTTAATTTTCTTAAATTAGTCATACAAATGTCACATTTACATCCCCATTAGCTTACATAATATTATATGGACATGAAAAGTATTTTAAAATGAAGTAGCCGAACAGTATTTTGAATCGGACGGTATGATGTTGCTAGGCAACGGAACTCAAACAGGTACACTAACTTTACATTGCGTGAAGGGAAGAAGTTGGTGTAACGTTAACTTAGCTAGAAAGTTGTTTAAAAGCTTTCCCAGGTTGATACTAAAAGCATAGCTGTCCACGTGGATTCAAGATGAACATGACTGACGGAAATACCTCTAACCAAGTGAAATATACTGATGGATGTCCAAACATACCGAAGGTAAGTCAACTAAGTTAGCTAACGTTAAGTTATCTTAAAGTTACTCTTACTATCGAGTCTCTAAATAATTGTTGTATTTTATCGTTTATTATTTATTTTCCCAGGCCGGAAAACTAATACCTATAGGAGACCGGACAAAGGTCTGTTTTCAAGAAGTGGCAAGGGTAAATCCGTTTGTATGTGTGTGTGAGCATTTTGAAAGTGTGATCTGGGTCCTGAGTGCTGCATCTATGGAGTAAGTTACCATGTTGCTACGTCATCTGTTTTATCTCTGGGTGTTTTGTCACAGCTGGAACTATTAATATAATCGAAGCAGCAGACAGACTTCACTCTCTCTGATGACGGATTAACACTTATATTTCAGCCCCCCACTCCACTGGTGGTAAGGAAATTCCGCAACAGCAACCAACCAGAGCCAGGAGCTATCAGAGTGCACCCAGGGAAAGCAAATGATCCAGATGTTGCCAGCACTCTAGTTCATGGCATCAGCACCAAATCTTCCCTCACTGTGAGTACCACACGGTGTTGTGTGTGAAGGGGCAAGGAAGGAGGGTTTTTACTACCCCAGATTTGATGGGTTGATATATTTTTAAATCATTGCCAATGAATCATTTAATATTCAGCTTGGTGATGAGATTAATGGCTCTTAAGTCTTAACTAAATTGAGGACCAAAAATGACTTGCCTATTGGTATTTTATGATGCTCCTGATTAATTACGTAAGACCTCATTTACATTTTTTGTATAGGTAATGGATCAATGTAAGAAATGAAAATCAGTGGTGGTTTTACTGTCATGTGTATTTGTTCCATTGTGTAGCACATGCTAATCTGAAACACTGTGTGATTAGTTTATGGCATAAGCTAGCTATGCATACATAGGTTTAAGCCTACAAAGTTTTGATGACACACACCCAGAATATGGATATATGTTTATTCTATTTACATGATTCCAACAGGGCAGAGGCCTGCTAAATCCTCCCCAAAAGACCTTGTTCCAACAGAAGTTACAAGAGCTCAGTGAATCAGTGTACGCCTCCAGTCAAAAAGCACCTGTGGGAAGGTCTCATGATCAGCATGCTGGACTTCCGACCTGGTATAACGACAAAACTACGTATGGTGTGAAATCAGTTAGAGGTATGTGTATCGTCAGAAAAGGTCATTGCTGATACATTGGAAAGACACAAATGCTGTAACGTATACATGCAAATATTTATCTACTCAAAAGTCATATTACTTACATACTTATGTTACTAGTCCCCCATAATGTTAAAAGTAAAAATTAAACAAAATAAATAAATAGGTTTATAACTAATAGGCATAATTGTACTGAACTAATGAGCCTCATCTCTTTTGAATGTTTCATGTCTTATGTCGCTTTTTGTATAGGGTTGGATGTACGGGAAATTATTAACCCTTCAAAAACCGTAGAAGAGGTAGAAAGGGAAGCTCAGGAGGGACACGAGGCGTACATCCATAGCCACAAAGCCTATTTTGTTGGTAAGAAGAATGAGGAAAAATATTTTATGCATAAGGCATTTACTGTTACTACAAACTGACTTTATTGTTACTACCTACTATCTATCCATCCATCTATCCATCCTTCCCAGGTGAGCGGATTGATAGGAAGTACGATTGGAGTCACTACGGCAAAGACAGCAGGTTTGGGATCCTCACACCCCATTTCAATGACGGCCGTAATCTCGGCAAAAGCCTCCGGTGGCTGGGAGAGACACAGAAGTAAGTGCTGAAAGTGTTTTCTTAAATTCCATAAATATGTGTTCATTCAGTATATCTCTAACTTTACACATTGTTTTGCCATAGGTTTTACAATCCAAAGACAGTTTGGAAGAGATCTGGGAACAGGGAAAAGCTGGCACTACAAATTGGCAAAACAAACAATTTGTTAAGTTTCTGTCATTTCTTTCGATCAATTCTGTGATCTCTGACTATACTTAACTAAATTGTGTTTACTTCTTTTTATTAAACCCATCTTTTCAGGAGAGGAAATACCTTGAATGTTCCACCAGATCACATCTTTGGAAAGCTCTTGACGCTGGATGAATTTGGTAGAGTTTATGTGTGTCAGCAGATATAGTGTGTCCTGAAAAACAATACACATACTGGAATGACATTTTGCCAACTTCCTGCACAGGTGTTGGAGATATCATCCACTCCACAGAGCCGGGCCACTACGTGAGAGGCCGAGACCGACAGCGCAGCCTGGTCAATGCAGTGCGACACCACCTCAAGAAGGTCAACTTCCACAACTTCCCCTCCCTGCTGCAGGCATTCAGACATTATGACAAGGTACGACTGGTTTCACTACAGTGTCAACATAGCATGATTTCAGATACATCAAAGAACATAAAAAGACATTAGAGCACAGCCCTTTCTGGCAGTGGCCATTTTTACTTGTCATAGTAGGAAAATAACGCAATAAGTAACGTTAATAAACGCTGCTTTCCATATAGGCCTTAGCAGCCATTATGTCAAAATATCTGCTGTAAGGAAGGTCAGTTGGAAGCATGTGACCCTGATGTTAAGACATGTGACAAAGTAACAATGCTGCTTTAATTCTCCTATTGCAGTCTTACATTTGTAAGAACATAGTGTAGTCATTAACCTTTTTCATGTGTATATGCCTATTTAAATCAGCAGAACGGCAAGGGAATGATTGACAAAGAGGACCTGCAGGCAGTGTGCCAGCAGTTCCAGTTGGGCGTGAGCGGGCCAGTTCTGGATGACCTGATGGACTACTGTGACACAGACAAGGATGGAATAATCAACTTCCTGGAGTTTGCTAACTTCCTCAACTGGAAGGACAAGATGCCCATCAACAGTCGAGATCAACACATTCTGACAAATGGTCAGTTAAATGAATTGTAATATATGAATTTATTTACTAAGATGCTATGGTAAACATTTTTTCCCTGCATTCATTACCCCTGTTAACGTCTCAGGTACTGAATTACAAATGCAGTTAGGCAATTTATTTTTATGGTATTATATAAGTTTAAGTCGACGGTTAAAGCCACTCTATTTATTTTGTCTCCTATAGACCGTCAGACTAGCATGGCTCCACCCAACACAGAAAAGAAGCCTTCGACAGCATCAGCACAGCTTCCTGTCTTTCAGGCCTCGATTAAGCCTGAGGATCTGGAGCCTGTTGAGCCAGGCAGCTCACTGAAGACTCTCAGGACCCTTAGGAAACCTAGGGAAGTCCCAGACCACTTCAGGACCTCCTACTCCCTCATCGGGGCTGTCAGTGATGGTCCATTCACATCAAGTAAGTGTTGTTTTATAAGCAGTAATTTAACAGATTTATATTTCAGTCACTCCCATCTCCTGTACATCCTTACTCATCATGTGGTTTCTCTTTACATAGATAGCCGTGCTTATGGGATCCCGTCTGTGCGCGCCGACCTTCCAGCTCCACGCATAAAGAGAGTCAGTGACACTAACAACTATGGTGATACATCCACAGCTGCAGATCTTCTGCATCCATCAGTTCATGCCCTTCAGGGTGTTCATGAGGAACACTTCTTCTGTCCTCGCACCAAGAAGGAGGTACGTGGGTGCTAATAAGTTCTGCGGTTTTGTGTACATTTAAACATGACCAGTGTATTTTATTTATTTTTTTAATCCATGCAATGTTAGAGTTGACATACGTTAACTCGGGAATGATGATCTCAGGTGGAGCAGGCTACAATGGTACATGTCTTGCCTGAAACGCCCATTTCGTCCTATATTTCATAGAAAGGCTGGCTACACATAACGTATATAATAGCTTTGAAAAGACCATGCAAATATTTGGCATTTGGAACATGGGCGAGATTTAACAGTGGATCAGTCCACTGCAGGGCTTCACAGAGTTTAAAAATTAACTTCACTTCAGCTGACTGATTTTGTGCTGTTTCATTCATTATTTCAGTTATTGCATTATTAAATTGCGTCTTTCTCCTTGCATCACCTGGAAACTTTTAAGAGATTCCCTGCAACAATCTAGTAAGAGTAGATAATATAACGTAATTGCTTCTGTGGTGCGGTGAATGGCCTTTATACATTTTCAAGTTGTACTTTTACTATACACAGCAACGTTTTAATTGTTAGTTGATCACTGATAGCCAGATAGCTGATGATCACTTGGTGCCACCACTGTTTCATTCTATTCATTACACCACATTAACACCCCAAAGCAACCTATGATACAGAATGTGCATCTTCCCATATGTTTTCAAAAGATCCTCTTCATTAAAAAAGTTTTAATTCTATATGAGAGGTGAAAGATATGAAACATCTTTGCGCCATGTGACCTTATCCAAATTATTATTACAAGTCTTCTGCTGCTGCAATGTGGCTTAAGTTCCTCCTCTTCACAGATTGCAGAGATCTTCAGGAATGTGGGTGTGAATATTTCTGACGAGATGTTCGAGGAGGCCTGGAAGATGGCGTCCATGAAGCATCCGGACGGGGAAGTTTGTGTCGAGGTTTTCCGTGATGTACTCAAGGAACTAAAAGCAATTTAATACTCAGTGTTTTTACCAGCACAGTGTTTTCTCATCACAGTCAGTATTTTTTTTCGAAACAATCAATATCTCCGCTGTCCAGTGAAAACTTTGTAGCTCCAAAATGTTTGTTTGATGGGAGTGCATTTTTGACGCAATGAAGAAAGAATTTCTGCAGCCTAAAATGTCTGACTTTTTTTAAAAAACATTCATCTGAAGAGCATGGTAGTTGTGCCATTACATAGCAACCATAATGTAAACATGTCCAGTCTCAGTACACACACCACTTAATGGTATAAAAAGTAAGCTAGTTTTGTTTTTATTTTATCTCCCTGCATAACAACATATTTTAACAGCTTTGTCTTAACTGTCACGTATTCAGTAGTCAAGACAAGACACAATATTAATACCACCATAAACTCAAAGATAAATATGTCAGCAAACAAAAGAGGTTTCTTTTCTCTATTAGGCCTCTATCTGTTTACAGAGAATCAATGTCTATTCAACTGAAAAATAGAATTACATGCACAGAAACGGCTCATTTGTCAACATGTCACCTTTCTTTTGTTGGAAGCAAAAGGTCATCTTTTGTTTGTACACCTAAGCTGCTGTGAAACTGTTAAATATTTTGTTGATTGCTTGGACTAGCCAGTGTGACTCTTTCTATGCTGGTGAAAGACCAGCATAGTAAATACTGAGGTATGTTCTCTGCACCTTATCATTTGTTCTGTCAGAGTATTAAATTTGATTTCCAAGCATATTTATCTTGTAATTTTTAATAAACCTTAAAATAGGAGTCCAACAGAGATAGCATAATTAATTTATGGCTTCTTGGAGCTGAGACACATGTAGACATACAAACAGACAGACTTTCAAAGAGGTACAAGGAATTGTTTGCAATCTGTTTCGCTAACAAGCTTAATGAAACAGGTTGGCACGCAGCCTCGACTGATCCACATGTCAGAACATTACAAAACAGTAACATAACTAATGAAAAAACCATTAGCTTTTTGTATATTCACCACTTGTTTGTGTTTTCTTGTTAATTTCCATTAAACCGAGTGATGCACACGCGTGGTAAATTGTTTAATGTGCTCTCACCATATCCATGAGCATATTGACGTGCTAAGCTAACCGCACTCATTTAATCTCATTATGACTCCACTGGAACCAAAAAACCCCCACGCAAACTTCCACAGACCACATATTACTATGCAGGAAAATTAGAATAATCCTCAGCGTATTTCATTCTGCATGAATTAGTAGCCGCTAATGACAGAATCCTCTCTGTTTGTCAGATATGTTGTCAACATTAATAATATTGCAGCAAGCTTTTACAGAATGGGATGACACGCAGCATTCACGAGCCTGCTCGACGTGATGTTTATGACAAGTGACATGTTTCTGGCAGTGACTGGGCTCAGACACAGGCTGCCTTTGAGTTAAACAGGTGGAGAATTTTCTGGTACAATGTGTCACTCTTTCTTGCAGCGATGCAATGCAAGTATTTTCACTTGGTGTAAGTGTTGTGTTGTGATCTCTCGTCGATCCATAAAGTACTTGTTTGACAGCCATATACCAGTACACACACACCCGGCTGCTTACTATGGAAAATGGATTATCTTGTAGCCCTTTAGTTGTTGTCACCGGTACCACAACACTAATATATTTGGTCTCTTATATGTTTCATGAATCAAATGCGTAGAATTCAGTTATGGAATACAAGGACTGCAGTGTCGGCCACAATTCCTCAAGGTGCATTTAGCCATATGCAGGGGACTCTGAACATGATTAAACACATTGTACGATCATGTCATTTTCACATGTTTGCAGACGGTGTTGTAGTTTTGCTTCTTGGTCAAGAAAGGGTTTGAGGAATGCATTCCAGCGCTGAGGAGGGTCTTCCTGTTTTGTGAGACAAACTGTTACGACCCGTGGGCCGTTTATGTGTATATGGGATGTTGTGCTGGAGTGTTTTCCCTCTCTGCCACCAGCAGGACCTTGCCTCGCTACAACAAAAGAGACAGTGTTACCGAGTGTTTGGAGTCTGTGGCGAGCGTGTGGCATTTGGCAGAGACAGTAACCGCCAGTGGCAACAGTGGGAGTCCCGCGGTTAACTGTAGTGATTTACTGTTTTTTTTTTGTTGTTGTTTGCACAGTGTGCTTGTGTGCCAGTTTGCTATCACTACTTTTGCGTTTGTGTCTATCCGATACCTTCGTTCCCTTTAGAAAGGACCCTTGTAGCTCGCTTCTCTTTTTGGGAGTTGTTTTCTGTTGATTGTGCATTTAGAGACACTTTTTGTTAAATATTGTAAATAAATCCCTTTTTTTGGTTAACTTACTCCTGTTTTCTGGTTTTCTTCTGCCCTGGAACAATACTTCCTCGCCCTGGGCTTTGTAACACATATACAGTTCAGCCCCCCCATCGTTTTTGTACAGTCCCATACTTTATCAGTGCAATGTGAGAAAGGACATACTGTTGTAGTGTATGCAAAGAATTACTGAGGAAAGTCCAACATGGACTAAAACGTTTGCACCTTCGCACTCTAGCACATCTGACTGCACAGCCCTGTAATGTCTTAAATATAAAATATTTAGCTATATTTAAAATTCAGACTCCAGCTTGAATCTGTTTATTCTGTGCACTTCTCCCCTGAATACTACACCAAAGAAGAAGACAACAAAAGTAGTTTAAGGCACAGTTCAACCCTTGCGTCGACTTCCTGTGTATTTTAAAGGGTCATAGGTACAGTTTGGTATGATCTCACAACTTATTGATTCAATATATTAGATTTAACATACGCAACAGAGTGTCAAAATCAATTCTTGGCCTTGGAAATAGTGGTTTGACAAAAAAATAAATAAAATCAAGGTCCACTTAACAGCCTTTTCTGGATCTTTAAGCTGCATCTCATAGTCTTCCTCAGTGGATAGTGCTGTGATTTGTCATGGGCATGGTTGGTTATCACCCAACCTACAGTGTGTATGGAACTTTGCTCATGTGATGTGACCATATACAAGCAGCTGTTGACACGTGACACACTCGCATATGTGGGTCACATGATGACAACTGAGCCATCACCATAATAACTGAGCAAACTCAATTTGCAGAGATGTGGTTGAAAAAGCTAGTACATGAACCTACCTGGAGTGAAATTTGTATTCTTTGGCAACATACTCAACAGATGTTTTTTAGCAAGAGACAGATTAAAAGTCTTCTACAGTGTGGGGGTAACTGTTTTCAATAGTGTAAAATCACAGGGGCGGGTGTAAAGGCACCTGATCTTCGGAGGATGAGTTCCAGTAGGAGGGTGGGCACATTTATAAAGTTCTGTGGTCCTGGTTTGTCTGCACAGCTTGGATCCCATTTCATGGGATCCTAATAGACAGTCAGTCTATTCAACAATCAGTCTGCTACTCGCTTTGCCCGTAGCCCAGTTCAATGTTGTCTTTTATGCATAAGTAAATTCAGTCAATCACTACTCCCCTGTTTTGTCCTGATGACTGACAAACAGCCTGCAGTGTCGAGTCAAATCACTCAGCCAGTTTCCACTGCCAGTGCCAAACAGTCTTGACCGTCCAGTCAGGAGAGGCTCCTCTCGTCAGCTCTCGGTGGAATCTGGAAGGGAAGTGGCAGACGTGTTTAACAAGAGCCAAGATTTAAACATGAACAGCTCCCCAGACTGATGTAAATCATGCATACCCCGTGTCTCCACTATTGAAAATTCAGTGGAGCTGCAGAAGAGCACCCTAAATTCTTCTTAGTAATACAACTGTATTCAAAGTCCTGGAGGACTCCACTCAAACTAAGTTCGGCTTCTTGTCTCACCTTGAAAACAATGAGCTGAGGATTCTGAAAATGGCTTCCTTATCCTGCCAAACTGTCTGTTTGCTAGCCTTTGGGATAACATTTGAAGTGTAACAGGCTTTCTCAGAGGGGATTCTAAGACCTGAAACAATAGGGAAGAGAATCTGGCTAACTAGATTGGTAGAATAGCCACACCATGTGGTCCAGCAACTAACCGGATTACTGACTGGAAATGGAAAAAGGCTTTGACTGACTTACATGCACTGGGAGTGAAATAATTTCCCCTTTTGGTTACAGCAGCAAATCATATCAGTGGTTCTTTAGACCCAAATCAGAACAACTGAAGTGATGCAGAAACAGAATTTTACATTATCAAAACTGGATTCCTCACTTTTGACAAACAGACAAAGGTCCTTTTACGGACATATAATACATAACAGTGGCTTCATCTAGCTGTTAAAGTGATGATAGGGCTCTTTATTCAAACACAAGAGCAACATGTTAAATTGCCGTCATATTTACATAACGAGGTGCATGTCTGAAAAGGGGCTAATAAGCCACTACTTGAGCTTAACATGGTCTGACCAGCTGTGTGTCTGTTCGCCTCACTGTGAACTTGTGTACCATGTATTACCACAAATACAGCCATAAGATTGTCTTATGCTTGGCTTGTATTTACTGTTCTTCCAATCCGTGCTTTTATTAATGTGTCTTACTTTAAAGTGCATTAGTGGCAGTCCTCTAGTGAAATAAATGTCACTTTCACCGTTTCCCCAAGTGAGGCTTTAAATATTAGATGAACTCTCATCCACCCACACTTTGGAACATTTCCCCAAAAATCAATCTTTCCACATATATCTGAAAAACATTTAAGTCGCCACCATCAGCTTTGGCTCTGTTTCCCACCCAAAAAAAACCAGACACGCCATATGTTGGAGAGCCTGCAGGTAACTTTGAACGTTTGCCAACATGTAATTATCTTCCCATGTAAATATTTGTACCTTTTTAATTGTGATTCAGCATGCTCTATATAGAGAAATTAACCAAACAGAGATTTTTGCAACAGAACATCTGAGCAAATGAATGATCAAAAATCAGCTATAAGCAAAAAGAGTCAGCACACACTGCATGAAATAGATTTGTACATGTCAAAGCTGAACGATGGAAGATTTCATTGTAATCCATAGTTTTGAACGCATGGCATGTTTACGATGTGTGCGGATGACAAGCTTACTCATAGACTGCTGTCACTATTTTCTTCTGTGGGCCGCCATCTTCCCGAGGGGAGACTTTGAAGATCTTTGTGCCCTCGGGGTCATCAGGGCCTTCGTGTGTTGACAGGAACCAAAACCTCATGACGATGAAGCAGAACTTTCTACCTGCAAAGTAAAAGACAGAGACCAGAGATCATCTAGCAGACAAGTTACCAGTGGAGATAGAGGCACAGTCACACTTGAGAGCTGACAGGTATAATTACAGTCATCTACAAGTGATCTCTGTTAAGGAAAAGTGTTTTTTTAGCTTGTGAAGAGAGAGCATTATTATTTTCTTCTGCTCATATGCAGAACATAAACATTTGTGAGCGTGACCCCAAGATCTGAATGGTTGCAGGGAAGGTCACATCAGCACAGTGTGAAACAAAATGTTCAACAAACACTGTTAAAAATGAAAACAAATGATATATAAAAAGAACTTGAGAATGAGGTTCCAGCTCTGAAACTGCCAATATTAGTCCATGACATCTTCCTTGGGAAGAGAGCACGGATAGTGTTGTGACCTGTAACTACTAGCATCTATTTCAAGAAGTACACTCTCTCTGTTCTCAGGTTGTAAAAGACTTGAGCTGACAGGAAAGGGACCCTGATGGAATGCATACTGCAACTCAAGTGTGCTGATATAACTTTTTGTCATTCAGTGCATGTAATATAAATCACCCAAAACTCACCGTGTTGATCAAACACGACAGACACGTCTTCCGGCAGCATAAATATAATATCGTCCATTTTGACAGCTAGCTGCTGTCTCTGAGCATCGGTGAGCGACCTGCACCTCTTCTCAACATAATCAATCATCTGAAATGACAAAAGTGACAAATGACAAATAATCAAAACATAATTATTATGGGGATAATTTATCCTCATTCCTACCAATGGACTACTTTTGATCTTGCAATGAATCTGGACCTACATTTTTGGAGGATATATTACACTGTTGGGCTGCCTAACTGTTTTGAACGTGGCTTTGAAGACACTTTTAAAATGACCACAACAAGTCTCATTCTTAAATACTTGTAGTGCTAGCATCCCACAGTTGGTAGTAAAACTTTAAATTGAAATGTTTTGTGTGTGCATGTTACCTCATTGGATACTATCCCCACCAGCCTGTGGTAGCTGCCACTGGACATCATGCTGGAGACATGGACCAAAGCCTGGGATGAATGAGGAACAACAAGGTGATTTATTCTCCTGCATCACGGTGGAGGATGTTTGTGCCTCATGTCATCCCCCTTCTTCTTTACCTGCGACTGATGCATCACGTTCAGATTAATCTGGGAACCTTTGTCTTTGTATTAAGCTGGGTAATAATTGGCAAAAATCTAATACATAATGTTAGAACTCCCAGTGTCTGAAATTTAGACTTAGTCTTCTAGCCTAAAAGTGTTTAGTAGATTGTTCTGGAGCTTTCAATCATATGACTTGATCTTCATCAGCAGATTGAACTTGAACCACAGCTTTAAGCCATACAAGCTCAGGAGGAAAATGGATATTTTTAACATCTAAAAAGCCTCCACAGCTAAGAAAATCCCATCTGCTGATGAAGATCTGGTCATATGATCAAAAGCTCTTTTCGTTTTCTCAAAAGGAATTACTCGTTTCTATATTGGGTTAAATACTAGTAAAATTACATTTTGTATGTTACAGTTGCTGTTGAGATACATAATTATACTTTTTGGTATATTAATAAATGATCTATGCTTGTGACTCCTTCCCTGTGGCTTTTCAGCTATTTTATATTATGCTTCATTTCAAATTTCAAATCATTTGCCACGTAGACTGAGAAAATTGTGCAGTTTGGGGGATATGAGACCGTCTATCAACCACATGGGGAAATGTTACCAGCCTTTCAAAGTGATGCAGCCGCAGTTTGAAGGACTGCTGGTACTTGTGTCAGTGGTTACCTGCTTTACTCCTCTGTCAAACTCTACAGAGTTGACGTCTAACTCAAAGTACAGATCGATGAGATACATGATGACTTTACACCGGATCCATGTTATCGGGTCCGGGGTGCCGATCACGGAGATACCGGACTGACCGCCGGAGGTCCTTCGCGGGTCGTCGTCTCCGGGCTGTGAGCTGCACAGTCTGTGTGTCTGACCGGCGAACGCGAACCTCCTCCTGCACAATCTCCGGCAGTGTGCCCAAGACTCCACAGTGAAAGGACGCGCAGTACGCACAAACACCCCCGCCCACTGCCGGTGCACGGCCGGTTGCCTGCTGCAGCTCGAGCTTCTTTTCCAGGCGCAGAGCCCGGGTGAGCGCGCTGCAAGTCCGCCGAGGTCCCGGCACGCAGCGAGGCCGGTGATCCGCTGCATCAGAGCAGGGAGGACACAGCGGGGGCTGAAACTGCCACCATTGTCACGGTTGTCTTTGGTAACCTTATGTTTTACCCATAATCCTTATCGTGCTCACGACGTACACAAATGACTGTTGCCTTCAGGTGCTGTTGAAAGGGCAGGACAATCTCAATTATTTGGCTTTTCTGCTGCATTTATTATTAAGTGGTATATTTTGTATTAATATTTACATATATTTTACTATTAAATTTTGATACTGCTTTAATATATTTGATTATCAAATTGCTGCTGCTCATTGTTTCAACATTTTTTAGTTAAAGTTGGAAACCGGGGAGATGTGCGGAGGTCAAATATCAAAATGTTTGGCGTTTGACATTATATGTAAATTCAAGCAGATTATATAGAGTATATAAGGGTTGTCAGGATGACTCATATTCTTCACCATATGATTTACCAACTACAGCAGCCTTATTATCTTACACAAAGAGTTACAACCTTTATATTACTGTTAAAGTAGGCTATGTGTTTTAAATTTCCAAGTAGCCTAATAAACTGGTTGTTGGTTGCTTTTATTTGCTAATCAGAAATGCGTGTTTAAGAAATTCATGTGAAATATTTCCTAGAGCACTTTTGCACACATTTAGTCCCACACTTTTACATGCTTCATATGTCGTCTCCCACTCAATCTGTGGTTGCATACACTAGGTCTAAAATCATATCAAACAAAGCTTTCAAAGGACAATATTTGTACTGATTAATTGTTTTCTCTCTTTGATTGAGTAAGCCGAAACTTACAAGGAGCACGTAAAAGCAGCAAAGTTGCTTTACTGACAGAATCCAGTAGAGGGAGATACATGTCCATTTATCTGCCGCATGTCGTGTGTGTGGGTGTGTGTGTGTTAAAGGGCCTAAAGTACTAGATAACTAGAAAACAAACTTCAAGTGTGTCTGTGCGTGCATGTATTATTAACACAATAAAAAAGAACAACTAAAACGCCAGTTACGCACACTCACAGTTGTTCCTACGGGCCAGCAGTTTCTGCCCAGACTTTGTTTTCTGCGCAGGTGCCCAAAATGATTGTGCGAAAATGTGAAATTTGATCAGCAGACCAAAACATCATTAAGTCCCCGCTGTTCTCGGTGATTACAGGTCAGCGCCGTTTTCCCGTCGCTCTCTCCCTCCTCTGCGTGCGCACGCACGCGGCAGACACCTGCGCGCGGCCCCGCCCACCTGAAGTTCTCCCAACTAATTTTATTTATCAATAATTAGCAGCGCAGCATTTGGTTATTTGAAATTGCGCTCAGACACGGAAACCTTTCCGGGATGTATCATAGTAATTATGTGTGTCAGTTGAGAATGCTTTTTACATCTGCGAGTTGAATGGAGCAGAATATTAACGACTTCACACACAAGTGAGGAAGAGTTAGAGTCCAGGCTGCTGTTTATTACACGATAATCAAGACATTTAACCAGGATAGAGTGAGGGGGAGGAAGAAGGGAAATAATTAAAGGAGAAGAAGGAAAGGTAAGAGGAAAGACAACACAAATGAAAAGAAAGACAGACACAAAGATGGAGTTAAAGAAAACAAAAAAAATAATAGAACATGAATAATTAACATGTGAACTGTCTCATGAAAATCAGTCATCACCTACCATCACCAACTGTCAGGAAACATATAGGCCTATCTGCAATTTAGAATGAAAAGATACAAGCAAGAGAGAAACTCACAGCCTTTGAGATTTTTCGCCCTTTGTACCCAGCATGCTAATGAATCAACTCTGAGTCTGGAGTCAAACTTACAGATACATACCACAAACACCAGTTAAACTGACTTTAAAAGCAGTTCAAAACCAGCCTGCCTTGTCAATTACTGCCACGCTGAAGCTAAAGGGCACTGAGTTAATGTCCTCTGTACCGTTTCTGTGAATTTCAGCAACCTGAGGAGGAGATCACATTCTACAATTGCACTTGGTGGAGTTTTTATAACGGGTTCTGACATTCCTTTGTGTTAATATCTTTAAATGTGACAAAACAATGAAGTTAAAAATACCCCAAAATGATATGTGGAGAATCCTCTGAAGTGGCAGTTAGACCATTATCGAGAGATAAAATGAACAGAAAATATGTACACACAAAAAAAACTTCCATTTACAGATTTTTTAGTATTTACAAAATCCTGCCCGCAGGCGGTGAAGGTTTACCTGCTGCACCCAGACACTCCAGCTGAGAGTGTCGTATAAGCTAAATGTGATTTAGTGTCATGGAGATGGTGTGTGACCTGTGTGTTTATTCAGCTCTTTCCTCAGTTGTGCCACTGAAAGGCACTGTTGTCCACAGCTGAACTCCTGGGTAACATCCACTGACAGGGATGAAGATGTTGTGTTGAACAAACCTCCAGAGTGTTTGAGGAAGGTCACTGGTGGAGCATGAGTTATCAATAATGATGACTTCAGCAATAAGATATGGTGCTGAGGAAAATCTAATATTATATCTTCTTATTGTCCGTTATTTTAAGTGTTTATTTAACAATCCCACAATGCATTTATAGAAGATGTCAGTGGATTATTGTCTATATTATAGAGGAGACATTTATTTTTTTATATTTAGCTCAAATCTTTGTTTTTTCTGGTCAGTTATTGTCTAGGTTTTCTTCAAAATGTAATCGGATTAGATTAAACAACCCAAAGATGTGCAGCCTGCGTCAAGGGGCCAGAAGCAGTCGTTTCTTTGTTTTAAAGGTCAGAAGCCACAAAAGCTTGTGAAGTGCTATGTAAACATACATAATATTAAACTCATTAATTTATTTTATGTCATTTTCCACAATGTGTATGTGATCTTATTCCACCTTTCCATCCGTTTAAAATATTCCACAATGAAGTGATAATGCACTCTAAACAGTAGGTTTTTGTTTTTGCTTTTGCCTTTCTTCATTATGAGGTTTATAAAATAACTTGGTCAACTTTCCACTGGAAAGGATGGCATGTTAAATTTGAAAAAAAAAGGTTGTTTTTGTAAATTTGAATTTAATCTGGGCTACAGGTATTGGATTTTGTGTCTGTTGGCAGGGAGCCACACACAATAGCAGGCACAGGTGTTGACCAAAAAAAAAAAAAGAAGAGAGAAAAGGGAAAGGCAGAAAGTGATTTGAATTATCATTGTAGAATACATTTGGCATCTCTGCAATGAATAGCTTTAAATAGAGCCACAAAGTTTTATGTAAAATTGATGCATGGACATTTTTCAAAATTGATCAAGTTCTTTTTTTTTCTCTGCTTAAGGTTTTAGTAACTCTCGATTTCAAAATGCGCAGCGTGTTGATCAAGAGCACAGATATCTTTGACTTGAACGTGGGGTAATGAGAGAAATTAGCACAAATGCTCTAAGTAATAGTTCCTGATTTTTTTCACTCACAAATAATTTTTCAACTTGTTTTTGTATCTATGCATAAATTAAAAAATCTACTGAAATTTATTATTCATCGGAGATGTGATTAATATGCAAAATTATGCAAATTAAGATGCAATTAGGCTCCAATTCTCTAGTGGAATTTTCCATTATAATTTAATACAAAGTAACAGAGTAATTGGTGTCACGTGTAATTACGGTTACTCAAGTGCACTTTCAGGCATGCAAATGATTCGCTATATGTTGGTTATCCTATGCAAATGTACCATGTGGTGTTTTAACAAGTTGAGGAAAACACAATGACTGCATGGTTACCCAGGGGGGTTCCAACAAGGTAAAGACACTGGGGTGTATTTTTTTACATGAGAGGAGTTGGAAAACTTTCAGCGCACAGATTATCACCAGTGAAGACTTCCAGTTACTTTTTTCCCTCTTTTAGAATTTTTACTGAAGTGTAGAGCAGCATAGACTTTCATCCATCACCAATCGATTAATGAGAGAAAACTGTTTTGGATGTGACGTGGGAAAGGAGGTGGTTTCCAACATGAAACTGTTGCTTCAGTTGACACGGTTCACAAGTCTCACACCCCAGCACCCCACCTTCTCACCTTCACCTCCACCCCTGCTCGATTCAGTCAGAGCTTTTTGTGTGTTTGTTACAACTGTGCCCTGTTTGATCAATGACACTGCAAATGTCACACGGAATAACAAAACATTATGCGCAGGAGACAATTACACCGGTGTGACAAACTTTGCACTCGTCGGGCCAGGCGGCAAGGAGAAAAGCGATTGTGTAATTGATATCTATTTAGACGGAATGAAAGTCCTGAGAACGCTTGGAGGGGAAAACGTCTCGCCGAGCAATTCCTTCTTGGGAGGCAAATTGATTTTAAATTGTTACATGGCTGGTTTCATGTCCTGACATCTTGCTTTGCTCGCTCTCGCTCTCCAACACACACACACACACACACACTCTCTGGCATTAGTAACATACACAGAGATACATTCACTTGTACACATACACGCATGCAGACACACACCCTCTGCTATGTGTCTTGTTCATGATCATCGCTCTGAACAAAGACACCTCCCTCCTTCCCTCCTCATGCACCCCCCCCAACCATCTTTCTCCCTCTCTCTCTCTCCCTCTCTCTCGCTCTCCCTCTCTCTCGCTCTCTCTCTCTCTATCCGCCTCCACTCTGTGTGCCTGCCTGCTTGCACAACTCTCAAAGAACATAATCCCTCAACAAAATGGAAACACAAAGGAAACTTGAGCTCAATCCTATAAACGCACGGACACAGCAGACAATGCCTCCTCCCACCCGTTTCCCCCTATCCCCGTCCCCCTGCCTCCCCAACAGCCATAAATGCCCCGTGGCACAGATCAGGCTTTATCAGCCCTCCCTTCCTCCTCCTCCTCCTCCTCCTACATCCAACCATCCCTCCTTCCCTCCCCGATTAGTACCCCACCACCGCCACCTCTACCCCACCCATCCTGCTCCTGCCGCCAGCGTCTCCCATACCTCCACATGGACCGTTGTCATGCAGCAGGAGTGTGGAAGGGCGTTGGATGATTTGGCTCCTGTTTGGGAACAAATCTTTTCAGTTCTTACGTATCTTTGATTCCAGAGCTGTGGTGATCTGCTACATTTGCTGTTAATGTATGCATAGGCGACGTACAGGACGGTGTTCATCAGA